CTTGCGCACTTTATGGTGAGTGGGACTTATCTTTTGGAAGAGACCTCCAGAACGGTGTCAGAATACATGGGTGAGTCCAGCATCGTAAAGGTTGTGAAGGGACTGTCTCGGCGTGGGGTGAAGGGGTGTATTGTCTACGACGCGGCAGAGACGGACAATCGCCTGTCTACTTGTTTGCCTCCTCTTGAATGGGGCATGCTAGTTGTGACACCGCCAGAAGCAAAGATACACGGACACTGGGCGAGCGAAAGGAGAGCCGCACGAATTGTGATGACTTTTCCTGACGAAAGCGATGCGAAGGCAATGTGCGATTGGATGTGGCGTGATCAGCCCGTGCAGCAGCAAGCGGAATAGTGGCGCGAGGTGAGGGGTCACATGTATACAGCGGGACCGCTTCTTCGCGACATCCTTCGCGACATTATACTGCACGGATTGAGAAGTGCCACGGCGCTGTGGATGGGACGAACTTCTCGAGAAGCAAGTATTACTTTGGTTTTTGTATATCCAAAGTGTGGGATGATAATACGGAGCTCGAATATGTTGCGAAGATTTTCCGAGTACGAGGAGAGCGCAATGGCGAGTTGTCTTTCAATGCACCGATATCTGCCCACCTCTGAGGTAAAATATTACACGGGTTATCAAAGTTAGTGCGGCCGCATGATTTTAATTTGATCGTATGGAGGCTCAAGGATTATCTCATATCCGAAAACCTTGTGAGGTGTGCCGTGTTTGCGTTTTTGAATGGGTCTTTTGTGGGTGCAGTAATAAGAATTAAACTGAGGGAGCTGAGGCCACCAGCACGACGTCCGTCACACCGCTGTGCGTTTTAAGCGTACTCACAGGAGGGCCCCACCAGGAAGTATTTTTTATCGTCGATGGAATACCGTTGCGAGAAGATTGATGTGGAGTGCGGGGAGCTGTACATACCGGAGGTTGAAAAGTTTCGGATGGTGGACGCTTTTTTCTTTGTGGACTCAAATCCAATGACGCTGGTTTGGCTGCGGATGGCTACGGCGGGTGGGCATCACACCACCGCCAGCACTGCGACGCAGTTCACTGAGTGCCTGGCGGCATATTTTAATGGTTGGGAGGAATTATCCCGAGACATGTCGTGGGAGATTATTTATGTGCAGCACGCAGACAGCACGTCGATAAATGACTGGCGGAGATGTGATGTTGTCAATTCCAATAATGTGAGCCGCGATGAAAGCCGAGAGATTGCGGCGTTCTGGGAGGAAGAGGTGCACTAGTAACAAGTGTCAATATCATTCTAAGACTTTAGAGGATAAGACGCTCACCGCAGTGAGGAATAACCACCGAAATAGGAAAACAAATTGGGGAGGGAAGGAGGCAGTTTTGATTTGTGGTAAGGAAATATTGTGGGAGTTATATATTTTTGGATACTTGTGTGTGCATACGGTGCAGGTGCACCAGCACCAGGTGACATTGTTACAAAAAGGTCTCAAAAATGACCAACGCTATCGAACATAACAGTGACAGAAGAAATTAGGGAGGGAAAGGGGTTGTTTGGCTTCTGGTGAAAAAAATTGGGTGGTTTCCGCATAGTATGTTAGTTGTGTGAGCATACGAGGCACAATTGGAGAAGTACCCCGGTATGAGGGAATCATTGTGGCTGGCGGTGTCACGGCGTTATTGCTGCATTGTCCATTTTCTTCTACTGTGCTCTGATTCCTATCAATAACAGAAGTATCTTAGCGGGATGGACGAAGGATAAGGTCTATTCGAGAAATGGTGTGCTCCGTGTGACCGCATGTACTGAGGCGCCGTGTCATGGGTGGATGAGGATCCGCTTCCGCGCGTGTCTCTTTGGGTGATTGCTCGCTTGGTGTGCGTTGTGTGTTGGCTGCGGGGTTGTGGCGGTATCCCGTATTGCCGGGAGAATCCAGGAGCCAGCAATGTTTCCCTCACGGGGTTGTTGTTGGCGCAATGCAGACGTCATCTACAAGCGTCCGGACCAGCTGCGTCGTGCCGGGACACAGTTGTGGCACCACGAGGTCTGGGGGCACGTGTTGCCGCAGCGTGGGCCATGGAATTGAAAAAGCACGAGGGAGGACAACAGAGGCACAACTGTGCGTGCTGCAGCAAGTCGGCACTGGAAACTGAGAGGGTGTGCCCTGCGCCTATTGCCAAGCACACTCATAGCCGCGTTTTGAATGGAGCGTGTTGTTGTTTCTCTGAAGCGAGCTCCGTGCGTCAACGCGACAGGGAAACACGGTTGGCGGTGGCAGGAGTTCTTTCCGGAACGGCACTGGAGTGCAGGGTTCCCAGAGTCTGTCGCTCGCCAAGGTGGGAACGGCTCTCAAGGACTGTCTCGAGGCTGCTTCTCAATGCCGTTGTTGTTGTTGACGGCCAATCGCTGATGGGAGAGCGAGAGATAGTCAGCTGTCGTGTGATTTCTCACAGTGGCACCCGTTGGAGCGATGCATGTGTGTTTGCCTTGCGGATGTGGTGTTTTGGATCCCTATTTCACGCTATTCGGTGGCGCAGAAGTGGACGGGGAAGTGATGCAGTCACGAGCTGCACGGGCGTGGTGGATACCGTTACACGAGCCTGTGGATGATCCGAGCAAATCAAAAGTGTACCATGCGGTTTGGGTCTACAAGGAAGGAAGAAGCACCGGGCAGCTGAGGGGAGTTGCAATGCACGCGGCTGCAGAAGATGAAATGCGTTGCTGAGTTCACGTTGACTGCCACTTTGGGTGCTTTTTCTGGAGGCCGTGAATCCTTCCTAATTTACTTGGAGGTGCTTGATGACACCAGTTGTGGAAGGCATTTTCATTTTCATACGAGGATGGCACACTGGAGACAAGGACGAAAGAGAGCGACGTCTCGCCAAAAGAGCAGCTGCTGGAACGTTGACGAGACTCGGGATCGTTTGCACGGCCAGCCGCATGCCCTCTGCAGGATTTTCCTTGAGGCGTTCATTGGCGCGAGAGTGAGGTGCACGCACGGAGAGGCACCGCAACAACCGTGTCGTTGGTTCTCCGTTGCACGAATGAGACGACGCATGTCAGGCGTGGCAGGTGACGTCCCCTGCGAACCTCCTCCCTTCTGTTTCACACCTTGGCATCTTCTGCGCTGTGAAAACCGCTCCCATTGGCCGTCTTCTGTGACACGAGAGCCGCCTGTACTCCTCTCCGCCGCATTGCAGAGTCGTGAGGAGGGCCTGAGGGTGCGTTGAGGAGCCGTGTGGCCTCTGCGAGCATGTCCTCTGTTTTTCTGAGGCGTTGAATTTTGTATTACCGAAACGCACCTTGAGTGCTTGCGTTAGAGGCATACATAACTGAGGGACAGGCGTGTTTGTGGAGGTGCAGGAGGGCCACGCCATTGGGAGGAGGAAGAGTGAATGGGTGAGTGGGTGTGTCTGTGGCCCACATGTGGTGCCCGACTGGCGCTTCACGTTTTTTGGTGCTATTATCATTCGCATCCACAAAGAATGGCATTGGGTGCTGCTTTTCCCAACTCTCTTACTGTGTCTGTGTGTTGCGTGTTTGTGGGCATGACTCTTCTTCCGTGCTGTGCATTTGCTGCGTGAGCTGTCGATGGTCTGTGTGAAATATGTGACGATTTGCGGCATTTTGTTGGATTGCGCTTTGATCTCCGCGGGATGACGGCCAGATTGGAGGCGTTGCTTTTTCTTTACTGTGATCACGTGCGGTGTTTATGGGAGACTTCTCGGAGAAGCGCTAGTCGACATTCTTGTGAAGCTCATGTATGATGCCACATTATTTATTGACGTGGAATGAGTTGGGGTTTGCATATAAGCTCCTGTGCATTCTTGCTGTGGTGCTCCTCATGCATGGCCCATGAAGACGACTGGCTGAGAATTGTCAATGGGCTTCTCGTTGAGCCGAGGGGAGCATAGCGTTTTGTCTGCTGATTGAGAGCCCGAGCGTTACAGATGATGCATGTGGCAGGCAAAACCTTGTGCATGGCGGAAGGAGCAGACGAGGGGCTGATTGTTTGATTGTCGCTGACGAGTCCTGCCTCACTGCTTGGAGGGGGCTGTTGTTCGCTGGGGCAACCTGTTTTGTGTGTCCAGACACTGCTTGCGCCGAGTGGCGCGGTGCCGTGTTGGTGTGTGCGGCGGCATCATGCGGGGCGGCTGCGTGACGTTTACGGACTGTGTGCCTGTGGGTTGATGCATGTGGCGGGAGGCGTGTCTGAGGGGAATCCGCGAAAGGAGGAGTGGCATGCGTTTGGCGGTGCTGCTGTTCGAAGTGCGGGGGAGGAAGAAAAACAAGTGATTTCTGACGCGTCTGTGGGTGTGCCACGGCCACCGATGAGTTCTCAGGGAGGGAAAGGAGGGAGGGAGACGGATGCTGTGCACATCCACTGCGGCGTGTGGTGCGACAGGATGAGATTGCCATTACGACGGGTGCAGCGGCCATCATGCGTGCAGCAGGCGTCATCTGCATCTTTGTGCCTGTCGAGCTTGCAGGTGCCGCGAGGAGGTGCAGGCGACCTCTCATCATTGGGCTGCTGGGGCTCTTTTCTTCTCTACTCGGCGGGAGAAGCAACCCTTCCTGCAGGCGCTGTGCTGTTCTGCATCGATACTCCCCACGTGGTTTCACGCCGTCGTGTCGTTGCAGTTCAACTCGCATTGTGGTTTTATTTTTACTAATTGGCCTTGTGTGCAGTGCAACGCTCGTGTTCCTCACTGCACACGTGGCCCCCTCTAATTTGTCTTATTTGCAGCGCCATGGCCTGCGGTACCTCATTGGGAGACTGCTCGCTTTTTAAATACTTTATATTTATTTATGCTGTTGGGGTTACTGGGGAGTAATGGCTGCGGGGATGTTGATGTTGTGCTTTGCTTTGAGTGGTGGCGGTGTGTACCGTTGTTGTTGTCTTTCTGCCGCTGTTGTCTGTTGCTCTTCTCCAAGAAGGAAGCTAAACACAAGCGCGAATCGATACTGTGAAATTGTAAGGCTCTGAAAGGACCAACAGCACACACACCGCCCACACACACATATTTATATGCTCTCACGTGTTGCTGCAGTGAAGGCACCCCGCACACACAACCGTCGCCGCGTGACCGGATCCAGCGGAAGGAGAAGGGAAGGAAGAGAGAGTGAGCCGCAGAGGCCCAACATTTCCCGGCATCTCTTCTACTCTGCGGTGCTGCTCCTCCTCGTCGTGATGGTGTGCTGCGGCAGTGGAGAGGCTGCGGGAGTTGCGGGGCAGCCATCTGTTCCCCAATTTAAATGGAGAGGCATCAATGAGAGTGGAGGTGAAACTGTGGAGTCGTTGGGTGCTCCCAGCCTTCTAAAAGTGGGGGATGACGTATTTGCCGTTGCCGAGGCGCAGTGCAAGAACGGTGGTGTCAGTTTTACTGGCGTTGCATCCCAACCTCTCACGACAAAAACTGCTGACAAGCCGGAGGAAGCGCTGACGGATCCCAAAGCTAAGAAACAATTACTGGAGGAAGGCACTTCCACAGAGGTGAAGAAAGTGGATGTGAGCCGACCAACAACAGTTGTGGAGGGAAATGATATTTACATGCTTGTTGGAAAATACGGCCGGAAAGCTGCCACTGGTGTTCAGGAGAGAGATGCAGTTGACTGTGGATTTTTGCTGGTGAAAGGGGAAGTCGGTGGTGAAGAAAGTGGCGGTGGCAAAGGAATCCAGTGGAGCGATACAAAAAGTCTCCCGCAGACGCCTTTCTGCGAGCAACACGAATTTTTAACAGGACTGGTTGGCGGCGGTGGATCAGGTGTTAAGATAAAGGACGGTACGCTTGTGTTCCCAGTGGAAGGAACCAAAAAGAAGGAGAATGAGGGCGCTGAAAAGAATGAAAAAACCGTTTCGCTGCTCATATACTCCTCCGGTAACGCTGCGAGTTGGAAGCTATCGAAGGGGATGTCTGCCGATGGCTGCAGTGATCCCTCCGTTGTGGAGTGGGAGAAGGACAAACTCATGATGATGACTGCGTGTGCTGGTGGCCCTCGCAGGGTTTACGAGTCCGGTGACAAGGGGGAGTCGTGGACGGAGGCCCTCGGGACACTCTCGCGCGTGTGGGGCAACAAAAGGGATAAAAACGTGAAACTCGTTAGAAGCGGGTTCACCACAGCGACGATCGACGGTGTCGATAGTGATAAGAGAACTGTGATGCTCGTCACCCTGCCGGTGTATTCCGAGAATGGCAACGAAAAGGGTGAACTCCATCTTTGGCTGACGGACAATACGCACATTGTTGATATTGGGCAGGTATCCGGTGATGACGCTGCCGCCAGCTCCCTGTTGTACAAAAGTGGTGAAAGTGGAACTGATGGTAATAATGAGGAGTTGGTTGCACTGTACGAAAAGAAGGGCAGTGGGGGGAAACCATCAAACAGCCTTTGGTCTGTGCGTCTGACTGAGCAGCTGAAGCGGGTGAAGAAGGTGCTGGCGACGTGGAAGGAAGTGGACAAGCGTGTCTCCCAGCTGTGCCCGTCCAAAAGTGATGCGGAGCGTGCCCCACCTGACGATGTCTGCGGCGCTGTAAAGATCACGGATGGGCTGGTTGGCTTTTTGTCCGGCAGCTTCTCTGATGGCACATGGAGGGACGAGTACCTCGGGGTGAACGCCACAGTAATTAATAAAGAAGGGGCGGAGCAGGTGGATAGTGGCGTGAAGTTTACAAGGCGTGGCGCAGGGGCGGAGTGGCCCGTTGGCAGCCAGGGGGAGAATCAGCTGTACCACTTTTCGAACTACAACTTCACTCTTGTGGCGACGGTGTCCATCGACAATGTGCCGGAGGGAGATACCCCCATTTCTTTGATGGGTGTGAAGATGAATGATAATGGGAAGACTGTACTGCTGGGACTGTCGTACAGCAACAAAGAAAATAAATGGATGCTGCTGTGCGGTGAGGAAAAGTCTAATGAGCTCAGCAGCCCTTGGGAGCCAGGGAAAACTCACCAATTGGCCATTGTGCTACAGAACGGCAACCAGAGCACCGCGTACGTCGATGGTGAGCGCGTGGGGGACGAAACGTGCTCACTGAAAAATACGGAATCGAAAGAGATCGCGCACTTCTACATTGGAGTGGGTGGAGGCGACGCAGGAAGCCAAGAAGAAGTGTCCGTGACCGTGACGAACGTCCTGCTGTATAACCGTACGTTGAGTGCTGCGGAGGTTGGCGCCCTCAACCCAAATAAAGTCCCCATTCCGCCTCCGGTAGGTGGAAGTGCGCAAGGAACATTGTTGCAATCTCCTTCTGACGGGCGACCGCCGTTGGGGCGTGAATCGTTGAATGAAGATGGGGGTGTGGGCAGTGGCGGTGTATCCACGTCAGCAGTTTCCACCGCCACTCCGTCGGCAGGGGAGGGTTCTGTAAAGCAGTTGGCGTTGCGAACATCTCCCGGCGGAAGTGAAAACGTGGATGTCGTTTCTTCACCCGATGGTGATCCAACGGTGGGAGCGGAAGCTGGAGATACGGTGCCGGGAGACAGACCACCTCAAACTTCTGCGGGCACTCCCACCACAGCAGACGCAAACGCTCCTACCGCTGAAACCGTGGGGCAATTTGACCCCGCAGTGACAACTGGGGCGCACGTGAGCTCCGGTGAGAGTGGGGAGACGGTGGGAGGAAGGGATGGGCAGGAAGATGCCCATTCACGGGTCAGGGAAGTTAATGCCACGGCACCCAGCAGCAGCCTCGGAAATGTGTCGCAGGGGAATAACAGCGATGCTGGCACTATGCGTGGGAGCGGAATGGTGCCACTGCTCCTTCTATTGGGAATTTGGGGGTTTGCGGCTCTGTGAGGAGTGACTGGCTGCCGCGTGGGACAATTGCGACCTTCCGAGCACAGAATTACTTCTCCGATAACTATTATCTCTGATAATTTATTTTCTTGCATTATGTGCGTTTTTAATATATATTTTTTGCTTTTCAGTACTCTTTTTAATGTTTCACTTCTTTTTTTCAATTTTTCTGTTTGCTTTTTTTATCTCATGATCCCCCATCCCCTCTTTTTTTCTTTTGGGGCAATCACTATGGACGTTTTTTTTTCTTTTCTACTCTTTAATTGTTTGTTGCTGCACTCTTCCTGTGAGGGGTGCCGTGTGTTTCCCGCCCAACTGCTCCACTCGCACACCCACCGACACGCTCATGACGACGGCCCTGTGCGCCTCGCCTGCTGCACGCATGAGGAGGGGCCGCGACGAACGGCGCGCTGAGGGAGCCGTGACGTGTGGGCGTGCGACGAGGGCCTGTGGGGCGGAGCACACATTTCTTCCCTCTTGTTTTGTTTGCGGCCAGGGCTGGCAGACACCCGCAGCGCCACACACACACAGCCACACCCTGCCGCCGTGTTTTTAGGATTTGTTTTGCTTTGCGTGTGCATTTCTCGCGGTGGCGCACCCTTCGGTGTCGGCCTCGTGAGCATTTCTTTTCCCTCCTGATGATTTTTCTTTTGCTGCGCTCGCTCTCCCGATGGAGTGACGCGACTGCCGTCATGTCTGCGTGCTTCTCTCAGTCCCCACACACACGAGTGACTGTGCTCTGCGGGCCGCACTCACGCGCCGATGAGAGGACTGAGGGGAGCAGCAACACGCAGATGACCCCATGAAATATAAACGATGTGCGGTCACGTGGAGGGTCGGACGGTTGAAAGACATTTAAATATATTTTTAATTTTTAAATTTTTTGGGCAAAATATATACAGACAGTTTGGTGTGGCCACACGGCAGCCGGCTGCTTTTTTAAATTTGTGTGGAACAGTAATGGACGATTTCTTTTTTATTTATAATTATTTTGCGTGATGGGGTTTACATAAGACGAAGGGGAAAGTTTTTTTGTTTTTTTAAATAAATCTTGTGTGAATTGCCACTGCTTGGACGGCAGTGCAGTCATGAGCTTGAGCGGTCTTCTTCTTGTTGTTTCCGCCACGCACCTCTGCTGTACATTTTTGTGCGTCTCTCCACATGCTCTGCTTCGTCTTTTCCACTTCTTTGTTGATTTGTGTTTCTGCAGGCACACACAACCACATGCACGCACAACATGCACATTTCATTCGATTTGGATGCTTCTTTTGTAGCGTGTGCTGGCTGTTGCGGGTGGATGCTGCTTCCTCCGTGGGCATGAAGGGAAGGAGTAGAGGGGGAGCGGGCAACGCGAGTCACTCTTCCTGCGGGTGTGATGCGCGCGGTGGGCTGCGACTGCTGTGGAGGGCCGCATCCTTTCGGTGTGCGCTTCTCCGCCGTTGTGTCGTGCGTTTGCGCATGCCATTTGTTATGCGAGTGCGTGCTGGACATGTTTTTCCGGGGCGTTGGGTGGCCACCATCTGGCTATGGCGGTTTGCGTGAGTGGGCACGTGCGGATGAGGGGCAGGGCGCATGGAATGAGAGAATGGCCTGAGGAAAGGGGAATTTGATTTGGAGGGTGTTTGGACCGGATTCATTTGGCTGCGGTGGACACATGCACGATGGATGTGTTTCCGCATAATGGGGAGGATGCGACAGGATTTTCCGAAGTGGCCCGTCAATGCAATTCGGGTTTCGTAGCACTGGGGCACAGTGGTATTCCTGCAATGGCTGGTGACGGCCCCTAGTGGACCGGTGTATTTATGCTGCTGCTGCTGCTCGAGGAGGCGTGGAAGTGCGATTTGAGGTGAGCGGCGGAAGGGCCGCACACCCCGCAGTGATGGTCGTCGTTGGCCCAGCGGGTGCCTCTGAGGGTTTTGTTGGATGCAACGTCCTTATGCCCGTCTCTGGATGGCGACATCCCTGATGCAGCCAACGAACGGGGCTGCGAGCGACGGTGAGACGCAAGCACGTGTGGATGTTCAGAGCGGCCGGCGCACCGCACGCTGAGAGCATGGCACGGTGGGGGCCGGACCTAGAAAAGGGACACTACGTGGGACGTCAATCTTCACTGCAGCGACCGCCACCGAATTCGGGTTTGCTCGCACCTTCTGCGGTCCCTCTTCCTCCCCTCACTTCTGTGCCGAGGACTGTGCCGCGGGATCCGGCAGCGCGGTGTTTGGCCGCAGGGGCATGGCCCGAACAAATGATTTGTGGGAGGGGATGTGCACTGCGACGAGAAGGAGAAAATAGTTGCGAGACGACCACCACGACAAGACCGGAGTGAAGTTGTGTTTTGTCCGCTTGCGCGAGGGCGGCCTGCCACCTGGTCGGTTGGGAGGATTATTTATTTTTTTGCGTCGTTGCGCTCTCTTTTTATTCCGCTGCGTTTTCTTGCGGACCTGCGAAGGGAGATTTGCAAGAAATTCCTGCGAGGCGTCCGTGCCGTCGTCGGAAAAGGGGATCCCCCTTGAAAAACGCTACTTTTTAAATTTGTTTTGGGCGGGGAGTTCCTGTCGATTCACTGCGACTTTGTTTTGCGGATTTGATGCGTGTGTTTCCGAGCGGTTCGATCTGTGCCCCCGGCCCACTCGGATGTGGTGTGCGCGTCGAAGTGAGGGCGCCTGCCAGCCGTTTTATTGCCTCCCCCGCTGTGGCTGCCGCCGCTACCTTCTTCCCTCCCTGAGGTCCTGCGGCTTCTTGACAAGATGTTTTGGAGGAGGCGTTGCCGCTCTTATCGTCCATGGCATTTTGATTCTGGTGTCGCGGTCAGGAGACATTGAACGAGAGGGTTTGCTGCCCTTTTGTTTTGCTTATCCTCTCTGCCTGACGGCCAGTTCTACACAAGCGTGCTCCTCGGCACCTCGGTTGGTGCTGGCGGGTTTGCTCACAGTTGTCGCTTGCAATCGCATGCGCCAACTCTTCTCTGCTCCCTTTCAGTGTCGCGTTTTTTTAATTAAATGACGGACACCATCCTGTCCGGCGTGTCATTTTGGTTGGATTGTGTAGGACTGCTCGCCGACGTCGTCGGACAAAACAGGCCGACCTTTTCACATATTTAATTGCCATCTTGCGCGCAGGTATTTTTTTCACATGTTCTGTTGATGTGCACTCAAACAGCGAGGAGTCCGGAACTATGCGTGCGTGGAATTCTTCCTGCCATGTGAACCGCGGGCAACAACGAGAGGTTGCCACTTTAACTCCGCAGAGTTGTTGTGTCTCTTTTCGGTGCTGGCAGGGAAATTCCATGCGTCCTGCTACTGCTGGTGTGTCCCCAAATGTTGTCACTCCGTGCGAATAATGTGCTTCAGCGAGTGAGGGTGTTGATTGGGTTTGTGTGCACTCTGATTCTGTTTGCTGCTTTGTGCGGGCACGCAACACTTGAGTGGTGGGAAAATGGAGCGGGGCGATGCATGGCTGCGTCTCGCCCATCGCTCACTGCACGATGGTGTGGTGCACATTGTGGTGGTGACTCTGCGATGTGACTGCGGTCCCCTGCGCGGCAATGGTGGTGGGTGGAGGAGAGTGTTGATCCGCGGCGGGACGGTGGGATCGTGCCTCCTTTTCTCTTTGTTCCTTTTATTCTTTTGTGAAGGTGTGCACTTGTTTTTTTGGTGTCGGCGATGGGGCAAACAGACGGACAACGTGAATAAAGCAAAATAAAAAAGGGCGATAGTGTGGCGGTGTTGGGGCTGGTTGCAGGCCTCGGCTGCTTCACCGACAGGCGTTGCAGTGCGGCTGCATGGCGCACCGATCACCGAGCCGTGCGAGTGCCACGCCCAACGCCATTGGGACAGCGGGACGAAACAGCCGCGACTGTGCTTTGGAGCCAGCGGCACCTGCTGGCCGCAGCTGGGCGGTGCGAGTGGGATGCTTCATCGCACGGGTGTTGTGACGGCGCCTTGCAGCGGCTCTTGTGATGGTTCCGACGCTGCGGCTCGACATGTGGTGGGGAGTGAAGTGTGACCGCAGTGGACCATGAGCAGCACCAACATGAGGCTGAGTGATTTCCTTTGGAATTGTGTTGGCGGCAGGGCGGCTGTTGATGAAAGACCACAACGTGACGATGGAGGTGTTTTTTCAGGGGCCGGATGATTACGTACAAGACCAACAGCTTCTTGAAGAAATTCTTAACCTCACTGCGCACCAAGCGCTGGAGGCCATTACTAGGTCTCTTCACGAAGGTGTGCTCTCTCTCGGGCAAAGTAGGGACTATGAAAGAAAGCATACGATCACTCCTCTTGCAAGGGGAACACCAAACGTAGTACTCACGCAGGTACTGACAGAAGCGAGGCGGGAGGCAGAGGAAAGCTAAGAGGAACGCAAGAAATGAAATTTACCATTTCCACTAATATCGAAGACGTGCTGTTTAAGGGAAGAGCTCGCGTCAATGAAATGAAGCTGAACGACTTTCTTACGAGGGAACTGGACGGCAGGGGCGTTGTGGACACCAATCGGAGTGTTTTGCTGAAGGAGTTTTTCAGGGACCCCACGAGGTATATCCGTGATAAAGGAGCGTTGAACGAGATACAGGCATCGGATCGTTATTTGAGTATGAGGCGAGCTGTAAAGGGTGAAGTGATCTTCGACGAGGATATACGCAGGCTATGCGATAAGGGTGTCAACAATCCACCGGGGTGGTCAGAAGCTGCTGCGGGGGTAAAAGCAACTGTTCATAACTCCACTAAACATTTCTTGGATGCAGCTGCCGAGGAGGCGAGGAACCCAACGACGACGAGCGCACCGGAGAAACTGGAGGGATTGTACGAGTCTGTGCACAATGCGGGGCGGAGCCATGCGGTGGAACTTCCGGACGACGCTGAGCGAAAGAAAACGGGGACGGGAACGGAGGTGCATGAGGGGAGGCCAGAACAGTCATGGTCGTACAAGAAAGTTGGCAACACCTTCGAAAAGGATGACGCTGTGCAGCAATTCGGTGCAGCACCTCCCGTGTTGATGGT